TGTCCCAACAATAACAGCCACCGGTCCATGGGCAAGACATCTGAGGCTGAAACTAGTATTTATGTATTCTAATTATTGATTAGCCATTAAAGTCCCCATTAAAGTTATTATTAGTTATTATTTAGGTTATATTTTTGTCAGCATGCTTAAATATTTTTTTAAAAACAGCACTTTTTGCACTTTTAAAAAAGTAAATCTACATTGAAATTAAAAGAGAACTTTCAGTTGATAGTTTTAGTTTATAACATATTTTCCTCCTTGACCTGGTGGATGTATGGTAAATAAGATCAATAAGAGCCATCTGTGACCCGTGCTGGCAAAATGAGTTGGATATTCGGATTGAGCAAATTTCTTTTTATTTTCACATTCTCCGTTAAAATACCTTCAAAATGATATATGACTTATGTCAGACTCTGTTCCGTGTTTTGTGTGTGTTTTGCTCCTCTTGTGTTTCCTTATGCCCATATTTGGTTATGTTCCTGTTCCTGTCCTCATTGTTTCATTATTAGTTCATTAGTATCCACCTGTATTTGTTAATTATCTTGTTTAGTTTGAGTATTTAAGCCCTGTGTTTTTCTGTATCTAACCTAGTATTAACGTCGATGTTGTGGTTCTTGTGTGTCTCTGCCTGCCTTGTGCTCCCTGCCTTGTATTACCCCTTTTGGATTATGGATTAAAAACTGTTTATTTTGAGTTTATCCTCATCTCCGTGTTCTTCGTTTTGCCACAGAAGTCAACCGTGACAGAATACCAGACCTATACAGTAAGCAGCGCCCCTTCTCCTCATTTTGTTTTTTCGGATTTGAAAGTCTTTTGTTTTCTTGTTTTTTTCCCCACGGCATGGAAGTCGCCGCTCATTTTTCTGCCTTAGCCCACTGAGATCTCCCCTTCATGGAGTAAGAGTGGGAATTCTGCGGGATCACCGCGAGTACTGCGAGTCCGCCGGCCGCTCATCAGTCAAGTCTGCCAGCCGATCCTCAGTCAAGTCTGCAGGCCATTCATCAGTCAAGCCCGCCGGCCGCGGCTTACGCAAGCCTGCCGGCCGCCCTGTTCACCCGTAACCAGAAGAGGAGGATGAGGAGAAATGGATGGCTCACGGCCCTCTTCCTCACCCGAGAGCGCCCCCCAGAGCTTGCTCCAGTGTCAGCTCCAGCCCCAGAGTTCGCTCCAGTATCAGCTCTAGCCCCTGACCAGAGTCAAGTCATGTCCCCTGGAGCCATGTTTGAAAGTCTTGTCGTGTCCATAGGAACAGTTCCAGTCGGTCTTGTCTTGTTCATGGAGGCTCGTCTAGGGCAGGCGGCTTCTCTTGTCATGGCCACGCAGGCCATTCCCAAGCCGCTTGCTTCTCCTGTTGCTTCTAGGAAAGCGGTTCCTGAGCCTAACCCTGAGAGGGCCCGTGACTCCACGTCCAGCCCAAGGAGGGCTGTTGTACTCACGTCATGCCCAGAGAGGGCCTCAGATTCCAAGACTAGCCCAAGGAGGGCTCCTGTTCCTGAGATTAGCCCATGGAGGACTACTGTTCCTGAATTTAGCCCAAGAAGGCTCTGAATTAGGCCCAGAGAGGGTCGCGGTCCCTATGTCTGACCCACAGAGGGCCTCCGAGCACGTAATCTTGGGGGAGGGGTTATAGGGCTCTAGCCATAGAGGCCGGGGCGGGAGCTGGTGCCACAGCCTCAGAGGCTGCTCCGCCATAGCCTCCTGGACTGTCTGATCCGCCATGGCCTCCTGAGTTCCCTACTCCACCATGGCCTCGTGGACTGTCTGATCCGCCATGGCCTCCTGGACTGCCTGCTCCGCCATGGCACCCCCGAACGGGTATCGATGAGGACAGGAACATAACCAAATATGGGCATAAGGAAACACATAAGGAGCAAAACACACACAAAACGTTGGATGTTGTGAGGTGCAAGGACACGCCTTCCGGGAGGGGGGAGTAATATCAGACTCTGTTCCGTGTTTGGTGTGTGTTTTGCTCCTCATTAGTATCCACCTGTGTTTGTTAATTATCTTGTTTAGTTTGAGTATTTAAGCCCTGTGTTTTCCTTTATCTAGCATCTGGTATTAACGTCGATGTTGTGGTTCTTGTGTGTCTCTGCCTGCCTTGTGTTCCCTGCCTTGTGTTACCCCTTTTGGATTATGGATTAACTCGTCTCCGTATTTCTTCGTTTTGCCACAGAAGGCAAACTTGACAACTTGTTGGACAAATGACTGAGCTACAGCCATTTGAAGGTGATAGTCAGCAGAGTTGATTTTGAGAAAAATCGAGTTAAAGTTTTCTGAAAATTCCAAAGCAAAATCACCAAGCAACGTTGCATATTTTCCTCCACTTCTTTTCTTAATAATAATTACTATATTAATCACAATATAGCTATTTTTATTTTATCTTTGTTATTAAAAATAAGAACAAAATGTAAATAAACAGTAGTTTAATCAAGAGCAGCGAGTGATTCCTTCTTTTCTGTTAATGATTGATTAACATTGAGACAGATCTATATTAAGACCTACTGTAATGCATGGATCAAATATAATGTTACACATCAGATTACCATTAACTAAAACGTTCATGTAAGACATGACAGAGAGGCGCGTCGTATGCACGCACTTTGCAAATGTCAGTCAGCGTGATCTTTTTTTTTTTTCATCAGCATGGGTTTGAAAATCATATTTCACTTAGATATGATTATTCACAAAGCTGGAATGCAGCGCTTTGCAACAATAGACCTACAACTTGTGGTGAGAAGCAGTAGCAGTCGTCCAGAAGTGAGCAGAGAAAAAGGTACTCCTCTCAGAAAACGTACAAATAACAAACATTTTAGATGTTTAATTACTATTTGGAGCATTGGGATCGCTAGAAGAGGGCTTAATTAACTCATTTTTGTGAAAACCTCAAATTCAACCAAACCTGACATTTTTCACTTTTGCCTGTATAGCTCAAAATTAGACCGTGTGCATTCCGACTGCCAGCACGGGTCACATATGTTTGAAACAAACATACATTTAGCCTAAATACTTGCAGTAAAGCTTTTTAACAATGGAACACCTGATTTCATACATGCATGAGTATGAGTTTTACTCAAAACTCTACCCTACATTAAGCTAAAATGTTTGTGTTGTTTGGACTGATGTGGTCAGGGTCTTGGTCATCACCATGGTCACTGTTCAGTACAGCTGTGTGAAGCTAATGTGGTCAATTGCCAAGGCAGGTCATAAACAAAACAGCTGAGCTCAGTGTCTGGAAAGCCCTGTGATGGGCTGGACTGTTGAGAACAACATCATAGCAGAGCTGAGCTGAATGTTTGGCAGTAGTGCTTTGCTAGCTGTATGCTGAAGAAAACTATTAGGATTTCTCTGTAGAAATGAGAGTGAGTAAACCCAACCATGAAAGTTCTGTTTAGAGCAATACACATTATAATGTGTAATATAGTGCTGTCTTATATTGATGTGTGATTGCATGATTGCTTTTGCTTTGATTATGAAGGTTTATGTTTTTTGTTAATGTGTCTATCAGTTATGCAAGCACTCAATGCTTGTAAATACAGAATAGACTTGAAATATCAGAAATGGTGTTGGTATTATAGTTTTTAAATATATTTTTTGAGTGACTGGAAAATTCAAACTATGCTACTTGCAGATATGAACAGTATATGAATTTATGTCTCTCCATTTATGCTTTTGTTCTATTTCAATATACCTGATTGCTTTATTGTACACATTGGGTAACAACGATTGCAAATTTTCGTTAATTCGAAGATATAATCTGAATATTTATTATGAATCATAACCAGTTATAATTCATCATAAATATTCCCCTTTTTAGAGCTAATAAATAATAATAAACATTACAGTAGTGTTACAATTTCAATAATTATTTTAAGTTAAAGTGTATTTAACAAAAAATATAATTTGTCATCATCTACTCACCCTAATGTCATTCCAAAACCCATAACACGTTTATTCATCTTCAAAAAAACTATTTCTGTATCTCAATTGAAAGTCCATGCACTTTCAGAAGAAGAACAAAATTTCTAACAGTGTGCAACCAAAACTTTGATGCTGCAAAAAGTTCATAAAGGCATTACAAACAGAATTCATATGAATCAAGTGGTTTAAACCAATTCTTCTAAAAAGACATCATTTATATGATGAATGGTTTTAATATAGGGTTTTATTCACATATAAATATGAAATATGGCAGTCGGAAGCTCATGCTCGATTGATGCTCAAGACCAATGTTTCCGTGTTTACCATATTTGATGAGCTCTATGTATGCTCCTTGATAAGTGCACATAGATTCTTTTTGCTTGACACTTTGATACATCTGTTTTTTTATTTTATTTTATTTATTGTGTGTGTGTGTGTGTGTGTGTGTGTTTGTGTGAGACAAAGCTATTCTTTTCCATACAATGAAAATAAAAGTTTACCACTGATACTGGTCCCCATCTGTTTCAATGTATGAAAAGAACAGCTTGGACATTCTGCTAAATATATATTTTTGTCTTCCACTCAAGAAGATGATGTATATATGTTTGGACTGACATGAGGGTGTTTAATTATTTTTTTCATTTTACATCCCTACAAATTGGTCATGAGCACATTTCTCAATTATTTACCAAATTCATGTTTCTAAGGCTTTTATGCTTTAAAGTTTTTTTTTTTTAGTAGTAGTAGTTTAGATTGTGCATGTGTGTGTGTGTGTGTGTGTGTTCAGCCCCACAGCATCCCTCTCACAATTCTGACTACCTTACAGTGAGTCAGCACTAATAATGCATGCTGACAAAAGCAGCTGTATCTCATTGGCTTGCGCTTTCTCATGTTCCCCCTCTCTCTCTCTCTCAGACATCATTGTTCAGTTTAATCTCCTAATGCCCTATTGGCTGAGAACTGGTCCCGGCATCTGCGCCTTCATCTCTTCTTCTAAGACTCAGAATTACATCACAATCCCACAATGCTTTGCAAAGTGTACTGCAGTGAGTTAGCATTTAGAGAGAGAGAGAGTTGGTGAGAGGAAAAAGGGAGGGAGGAAAAGTGAATGTTTACATGGTGAATTTATGAATGACGTCGAGAGTGAACGAAAGAAAGGTGTGGCCTGATTAAAGATCCAGAAAGAGCGAGAGTTTGTGTGCTAGTTTGAAATGAGCTGTCATCTTTTTGCTGGCTTAGCGGTGCTCAGATATCTTTCCTGCTCAGTGCAGACAGAAATGCAGCATTGCTGGGTATCAAAATGTGGGATGGTGCCTTGAGAACAACAGCTTGATGGTAGGTTTCAGTGGAACTCTTTCTGATATGCACTGCGGATGCTCCATTGATTCTCTCACAATGCTGCTGGTAACATTTTGTCATTGTGGATAATACTTAATGTTTTGACAAACTTATGATGGATACAGTAATGCTTTATTTTTGCTCATTTGTGGGGAAAAAATTCACATATATCGATGGATGATATATATAGTTCTTGATACAACTTTATGGTTGACAAAGAATAACTGCATTATATTATGAATTCTGGAGCTGTTAGTCTGGTGTGTAATGTTAGATTTTTTGTGGTATTTAGGGGTAAATTACTGTTGTTCATCAGTCGAATAGTACAATCAGATGTCTTCATCGTGTGACAGAGAAATTGTGCGCCAGGCTTGCTTATATAAATATTATGTAACAGAACCAAGCCGGGATGGCATGCGGAAAATGACAGGGGCTTTTAGGAGTCTAGGAAATTTGTTTGTTTTAGAGTCTGACTATTTGGAATATGTGACCCTGGACCACAAAACCAGTCTTAAGTCACACAGGTTTATTTGTAGCAATAGCCAACAATACATTGTATGGGTCAAAATTATGCATTTTTCTTTTATGCCAAAAATCATTAGGATATTAAGTAAAGATGTTCCATGAAGATATTTTGTACATTTCATTTCCCTACTGTAAATATATCAAAACATAATTTTTGATTAGTGATATGCATTTCTAAAGACATAATTTGCACAAATTTAAAGGCGATTTTCTCAATATTTAATTAAAAAAAATTTTTTTTTTATCTCCCTCAGATTCCAGATTTTCAAATAGTTGTATCTCAGCCAAATATTGTCCTATCATAACAAACCTTACATCGATGGAAAGCTTATTTATTCAGCTTTCAGGTGATGTATAAACGTAAGTTTAAAAGAAATTGACCCTTATGACTGGTTTTGTGGTCCAGGTTCACATATATAGGCTATCTACAATGGTAAATGACTGGAAACCACTATAATGGTAAAGACAGAAATATCATTTTTGGTGGGAGTTAGGGGTGGTGGAATACATATATAGAGTTAAGGGTCCACACCATTGTTGCCTTGAAAGGGAACTCCTGATGTCAATTTAGTACGAAATAATTATATGTGTGTGCGATTTATTTACTTATTTATATTTATTTATCAAAAATAACATTCAACTGCTGTCAATACATAAACCTATCTCTTTACATTGCTAAAAATGTAAAGTAGTTAAGTTACATATTTAAAAATGATGTAACATCAGTCATTTGTGTAAATGTCTTAATATTTTGATTTCAACAATCAAGAAATTGTACACCCATGAATTAATTTGCTATTTTTCTGTGTTTAGCATAGGGACAGATATACTGTATCTAGTAAGTTTTGTATAACACTTTTTTCTTAAAAATAATTTAGCAACACAAGCAATACATTTTTTTTATTTGCTAATATCTCACATTTCTTCAAAATCTCACATGCGTTCCCTCTCGAACTCACAGCCTTGTATTTCTTTCCTTTCAGCCTTATCTCAGTTCTTAATTTTTCAGATTTTTTCCATCTGTGCTATTTTTTTATTGTTGGTATATGAATGCGAAATATAGACATTTTTGCCAAATGCCCCATGTCTCATTGTTTTTTCAGCATCTTCCACCTTGAGCTCTGCCATTTGACACCATGTCAAATAAAAAAAATAATTGAAAAGGGCATCAAATCGGTGTCAATTCTAAAACAAGACAAATCAGATCAATCTGGGAGCAGGATAACCATATATACACACAGTATACAAGCCTACTGTAATGGAAGAGGTCTGACGCAACAGGTTATTATAAATCAAACAGGTTTATTGGGTCACAGAGACTACTGGGGTAGGGTTCAGAGGATGTGATGGTGAGGGAATAGTTCGAAGGATATGATGAGCGGGGTAATCCGGGTCTTTGGCTGTACAGGAGCTGGAATGCAGGCAGGAGGAGCACACACCTCAGCGATCCGGGAACTAGGAGGAACAGGAGACACTTGGAGACGAGGAGACACTAGGAGGAACACAGGGGGTAAGTAATGCAGGAAGTATTCAAATGGAAGCAGTAGCAAAGTCATTGAGTCCTCTACGTGTATACGAGACCGGACCATGAGGGTGGCTGAGGTGTGCTTTTATGCAGGCTGGTTGATGAGGTGCTTGATTAGTGACAGGTGCAGGTGCTCAGAACTCAGGTGAGAGGGATCGTTGTGATGATTGGGAGGTGACTGAGTCTGGCCGATCTGTGACAGTACTCCCCCCCTCCCGAAAGGCGCATCCCGCGCCGTAACAATTCCACCGGGGAGGGGGGGTGGGCGCCCTGGAGGCTGGTACAGGGTGGAGACCCGGGAGGCCTCCAGGGCGGATCAGGGGCTTCGGGCTGCCATGGCGGATCCTGGAGCTCGGGCTGCCATGGTGGAGCCTGGAGCTCGGGCTGCCATGGTGGAGCCTGGAGCTCGGGCTGCCATGGTGGAGCCTGGAGCTCGGGCTGCCATGGTGGAGCCTGGAGCTCGGGCGGCCATGGCGGATCCTGGAGCAGGGAACTCGTGAGGCCAGGGCGGAGCCGGGGACCCGTGAGGCCATGATGGATCCTCTGTGGCCTTGGCTGGCTCAGCTATGGGGATATGCTCCCCCCCCAAAAGTTTCTTGGGGAAATCTACGGGGCTGTACTCGGGGCCTGGAGCCCTCCCTGGGCTTAACCGGGGGACAGGAGCCCTCCCTGGGCTGGACTCGGGGACAGGAGCCCTCCCTGGGCTGGACTGGGGATCAGGAGCCCTTCCTGGGCTGAACTGGGGATCAGGGTAGCACTTCCGTGGTGCTGGCACTGGAGGGCGCTCTGGAGGAGCAGGCACAGCAAAGCGCCTTCGAGGAGCTGGGACTGGAGTGAGCTCTGGGGCTGGAGCCGACACTGGAGCGAGCTCTGGGGCTGGGGCTGGGGCTGGAGCCGGCACTGGAGCGATATTCATCCTTGGGGCTTGCCACACTAACATCCTCTCGGCTTGCCACACTAACGTCCTCTCGGCTTGCCACACTAACGTCCTCTCGGCTTGCCACACTAACTGCCGGCTGACTTGGGGAAGCCGCGGACGGCGGTGGACTGGTTCTGGCTCGGGACTGGACACTCCCCAGACACCGCCTTCTCTCCAACACAGGCCAGTGGTGTCTGGGAGGTCCAAGGGGCGATGGGAGTTGGCCCAAGCCAGAGCAGATGGTTGAGGGGGGCATCGTCCATCGCCGTCTCCATCAAACAGGTTTATTGGGTCACAGAGAGTACTGGGGTAGGGTTCCGAGGATGTGATGGTGAGGGAATAGGTCGAAGGATATGATGAGCGGGGTAATCCGGGTCTTTGGCTGTACAGGAGCTGGAATGCAGGCAGGAGGAGCACACACCTCAGCGATCCGGGAACTAGGAGGAACAGAAGACACTTGGAGATGAGGAGACACTAGGAGGACCACAGGAGGTAAGTAATGCAGGAAGAATTCAAATGGAAGCAGTAGCAAAGTCATTGAGTCCTCTACGTGTATACGAGACCGGACCATGAGGGTGTCTGAGGTGTGTGCTTTTATGCAGGCTGGTTGATGAGGTGCTTGATTAGTGACAGGTGCAGGTGCTCAGAACTCAGGTGAGAGGGATCGTTGTGATGATTGGGAGGTGACAGAGTCTGGCCGATCTGTGACACATACAGGTGCATCTCAATAAATTAGAATGTCGTGGAAAAGTTCATTTATTTCAGTAATTCAACTCAAATTGTGAAACTTGTGTATTAAATAAATTCAATGCACACAGACTGAAGTAGTTTAAGTCTTTGGTTCTTTAAATTGTGATGATTTTAACTCACATTTAACAAAACCCCACCAATTCACTATCTCAACAAATTAGAATATGGTGACATGCCAATCAGCTAATCAACTCAAAACACCTGCAAAGGTTTCCTGAGCCTTCAAAATGGTCTCTCAGTTTGGTTCACTAGGCTACACAATCATGGGGGAGACTGCTGATCTGACAGTTGTCCAGAAGACAATCATTGACACCCTTCACAAGGAGGGTAAGCCACAAACATTCATTGCCAAAGCTTGGCCATCACAATTAAAAGAACCAAAGACTTAAACTACTTCAGTCTGTGTGCATTGAATTTATTTAATACACAAGTTTCACAATTTGAGTTGAATTATTGAAATAAATGAACTTTTCCATGACATTCTAATTTATTGAGATGCACCTGTATTAGAATATGTTATCATTGTCATATAAGCAGCAGTATATGGGAGTTAATTCACTTCTGTTGCATTCCGTCTAGCAGCTGATTTTAATTTAAGAACTTGTCCTGTGTGAACACCCCCTTATGCTCTGGTTCAGATGTTCACGGCCTCTTTCCGTCTCTCAGTGTTGCTATGGTGATATGGTTTCGGTGAAGCTCAGAATGAGGGGGTGGATGATGCCCTTGAGGGATCCACTTCAGCACTGTGGATGTGTCCTGCTTCTTTCCATCTTACTGATCTACAGTATTTGTGACATGCCCTACATTGCAAGCTAATCTGCACTTTCTTTGAATCAAATCTCAGATGGCAGTTTGTGGATGTTTTCTCATAAATTGCTTGTTTCATCTCTAAAACCGGTGTCTCCCTAGCCATTTTTTCCAGCTGATTTTCAGTTTTAATATATACAGTTGTATGATATGTAAATAGCACAGTCAGGAACATCACAATGTCTGACAGATGCTCTCACAACTTACACTTATCATTAGTTCTTCTGATGTTATCAATGATGTACTACTTCCTCTCTATTTCCTTATTGCAACTGGGCATGTCAGGTTTATAAATAATAAACAGGCATTGTTGATGTGTAAATGTGTGTTCATGCGTTAAAGTGCATTCCACTGTCTCATGTCAGAATTTTACAGAAGTACAGAATAAGCTAGTTGCAGTTTAGTTTTAGCTGAGGAGAATGTTTTTTGAATGTCACAGTATATTTACATAATACAGAACTGTTTTAGAATACTGTTATATAATATTATGTACTGTCCGTTTTTTTAATAACATTTTTTGTTTAAGTTTGAGTAATTTTTACTTATGTGATTTTATATTTTTTATTAAATATTTCTATAGCTGTTAATTAATGTTTATTTCCTTTGTAGTTTTAGTACAGTTAAGTGTATATTTAATGTTTTCATCTAATATTTATATTTAATTTTATTTCAGCTTTGTTTCAATTACCAAAACAATTTTAATTGTAATGCTTTTAGTTTTAGTTAAATAGTAACAACCCGTGGTACAGAGCAGTGCCCTTCAGTACCAATGACTTTGCACAACTTTGACATGTAGTATTGGAATTAGGAATTGAGTTGAAATGGGTTACAAGGACAAGACGCTCACACAGTAGCTATGCTTAAAAAAGTAGTGTTACTGATAAGAAGAAGAGCTTATGATCAAGATCATCTAGCTCAAAGGACAGTGCTGGAGGCAGAGCAACATAAAAGGAAAAAAACACAAAGAAAAGAAACAGGATTGATCTACTCCCCACAGGAAATGATAGCAATTACAGAACAAATGGGTTTGAGTGGAACCATACTGGTATTGTGGTAACCTGAAGCATTTTAATCTTATAGCATGAAGTCTCAATTTTCCTCACCACTGAGAATGGACTGGATGAGACAAGCTGTCTGTTTGTCATTAAAGATCAAATTTTAGAACTTGTTTTTATTACTGTATTTGTGTTCTTGATAAGGTAAAGTGTTGTTCCAAACCTGTACGAATTTCCTTTTTTTTGTTGAACATAAAAGAAGATATTTTGAAGAATGTTGGTTACATTGTTTTGGTTTATTTTGAACGTTTACTCGACGCACATACTACAGATTCGGGTGTGCAAAGTACTATTTTTGAAGAAAATAGTTGACTTCCATTGTATATTTGCCCCAAATATCTTTTGTGTTCAACAGAAGAAAGAAACTCATTTAGGTTTGGATCAACTTGAGGGTGAATAAATGATGACAGAGTTTTCAATTTTAGGTGAACTATCCCTTTAATTTGACAGAATTTTTATGGGAAAGTTGTTTTTTCCAGTGTTTACGATCTATCCACAATAAGAGTGTGTTGCTTTGTTAGACTTGAATAGGTTTCCAAATATGTAAGAGATTTATGTTTCACTCTAAAATTATTACCTTATACAGCATCCATTGCAGACAAGCCCGTATATTTTCTCTTTATGAGCTTTCATATGCCACACCAGACTGTCTTTTCCAGTCTGTTACATAGATATTGTCCAGAAGCCTGTATTTAGAGTTCTACTTTCACTGAGCACTTTGTGGTCAGTGGATGGACTCGCAGATGCATGATTCTGCTCTGCTCAGCACTCAGGACATCTGGAACATTCTTCTGCTTGACTTTGTGCAATGTGTGCATTAAAACAGACAGCTTTTAAATGCCTAATTAAAAATGTACTGCAATGGCTGTATCTGTTCTGAAAACATTGTGTGCTCTTAAAAACTCTGTTTTTAAATAAAAAAAATATTTTTATAATTTTATTATATAATATTATATAAGTGTCTTTAAAATACAGCTGTGAAAAAAGTGGAAAATGCACTAATCATTTAATAACACTGTTAAATGTAATATTTATCATCTAAATCAAATCTAATGTAATGTAAATCAAACCTCAAAATGAACAGGCTCTATTAATTTTTCATACTTCACAGTATAAAATTGTAAAACAATGAATTTAATTTCTAAAGTATTATCAAATTTAATTTGCTTAGACACGTATATAGCCTATATTAATAATAATACAATTTCTTAATAAGAGTTTTTAATTGGCTTTTGGATTATTGCAGAAAATAAGCTCTGTGACCAATGAAACTGACTCTTACACATTTTGCTCATCACGATAACCTTCACAAAAGAAAACTTGTTTGAATTCTGAAACCAAAATACAAGCTAAATGTAGGTAAATATAGGGTATTAACAAACTATGGTTTCATGACTTCAACATCACCACCATTAGGCTTCTGACAACTCTTTAAATTTGTATATAAAAAATTCTCTAAAAGATGGAGATACAATAGTTTGCAAGAGCATAATTCTAAACACAATGAGGCTGTAAAAGCAGACTAGTGTGATAATGTTTAATGTCCCTAACAAACTCTATAGTCCCATTTAAGTACTTGTTAGCAAACGGCTTTTTCAAGAAAAGCTAAATCTTAAAAAAAATAATTAATTAGAGTAGGTATTACTGATATGTTGTAAAATAAACTGTGAAAATATCTTGTTTGCTTGTGTTAAAGGGGTCATATGATGCTTTTTTAAAGATCATTATTCTGTGTATTTGGTGTAACAGAATATGTTGACGTGCTTTAATGTTCAAAAAACACATTATTTTAACTTCAGGGATCTTATCTATGCACAATCAGCTTGTAACACTCCAAAGAGAAAGGAAAACTTGAAATCGCATCATATGACCCCTTTAACCACAGATCGTATTTCAGGCATTTAACCAAAGATGAATTCAAAAACCCATTGACTTCAAGGCGATGGAACTAGAAGTGCTAAAACCCTTTTCAGGCTTTTGGCTTACAAAAATATGTCATCCCTCCCTATAGCACTCTATTATCATCTTACTGTTCATCTGAGTCATGGCTGATGTTTTACCTTTTAGATTATTCATTTGGACTTGCTGCTCACTTTAACACAGACATAAGTCAATACAGCACGCTTTAATTATTAATCGGCCTTGTAATGGTTAAAAACTCAAGATTTTGTGAGAACTGGGATTCCAGTGTTGTGATGTGATATTTACTGCTGCCTCTAGCACCTTGTTTGTATGAATTAATGCAGTTTATTTTCATACAAAAGAAATAGCTACACCTTGTGGGCCTTCCCAGGAAAAACATCCATCTAATTTTTATTTTATCATCTATTTGTATTAACTCCAATATCCTCTCCACAGGGTCAGGGCTGAAGGAGTGTGGGAGGTCTTTGACAGAGTGTTAGGATGGCAACTGAAGCTTCTACCCTCCCAAGTCCTGTGGTGCGTCAGATCGACAAACAGTTCCTGATTTGCAGCATCTGTCTGGATCGCTACAACAATCCCAAGGTCCTTCCCTGTCTTCACACCTTCTGTGAAAGGTATGTAATTTTTGGACCTACATTATATTGCTCAATTAAATTTTTTTATTGCTCAAATTATTTACAATTATTAAATATTTGTTTTGTTAGCTGAGTGTAAATTACATTATTACATTAACCTTTACATTATTGTAAAGGTGATTTTACTGATTAGATAGCTTTATAATATGAAGAGCACAACTTATATGCAACAACAATAACAATATGCAAAATTAACATTACATAAGCTCAAAACTGACAATTTTGTTAATGCAGGAGGAAGCACAACAATATATTACTTCAAAGCTGCAGCTCACCTTATCACCCAGCATTTATCCCATTACACTTCCTCTCATTGGCCAATAATGACAGGGGAGTGATTAGTAGTCATTATTGCTGACACTTGATGGCAATCAGACTTGTCCATAAAAGAGAAACAAACAAGAAGGCAGACACCAAAACAAGAAATAATGTAAAAATTTGTCCTAGGATGTACTGAAACAAATACATGGACAATAAAGAAAGATATTGTAAGCGGTTTCTATTTTAAAAGATGATAAACCTGTTTATGCTATGCAAGGTATGCGTAAGTGTAAGATCTATTATTATTATGTATATTACACTTACAGTATAAGTGTAATATACATAAACCACATTAACCTTTACTTTGATATGACAATGCTGTAAATTAGATCTAAAATATTTCCAAAAGTATTTTATGTTTGTTTATATTTTTTACCCAGTCAGGCTGTTTTGTTTGAATAGCCCTAGCATATTTATTTTGCCCCATGTTACAATCATCCATTTAGTTTGCCGTGTCACCAAACTTCTATGATCCAGTCAATTCCCGATGGACAAGATCAATTCCTGCACTGCTTTTTTCCCCCCTGCTTGATAAGTCGTTTTGCTCAGATATACAGTATGTCACAATAGAGAAGAAAAGTTGGTCACAATGTCTGTTTTTGACAGCCCAATGTTTGATTTATCACTCAAACACTTACAGTAGTACACAAATTAATATGTATTTGTTGTGATAGCCAGGCACTGCCACCGAAGTTGTTTTTTCAGTAACCTGTTCCTGTTTCTCCAGGTGTCTGCAGAACTACATTCCTGCCCACAGTCTGACTCTGTCTTGCCCCGTGTGCCGTCAGACCTCCATCCTGCCGGAGAAGGGTGTGGCGGCACTTCAGAGTAATTTCTTCATCACCAACCTGATGGAGGTGCTAAAGAGGAGCCCAGACACTAACCTCAGTGAGGACTGCACTGACGCTATCAACGGAGTGGCCACTGGACAACCACTCTCCTGTCCCAATCATGGAGGAAATGTAAGAATTACACAGCAGCACAGCATAAAAAAACTTTCAAAAATCTGTAGTGTACAGACGCCTCACTGTATGTTACTGTATGTTAGAAGTATTTTCCTCCAGGCAAGTTTTTGCAAAGGGAGAACATAATAATATAATTTATAAGGGCATTCATATTCAGTATGATATTCAGCTCTCCCTTTCTTGTCATCAGCTAATGGAGTTCTACTGTCCACCATGTGAGACAGCCATGTGTGAGGAGTGTACTAGTGCCGAACATGCAGAACACGCCACCGTCCCGCTCAAGGATGTTCTAGAACAGCACAAAGCCTCGCTACAGGAGCAGCTGGACGCCGTCAAAAACAGGCATGTAACATACGCTCACATTGCTACAGAATTTAAATTTATGTTGTTTTATGTTTAAGCAGCAAAATTTCTCATTAAAAATAGGCCTGATTATGCAGAATGGAGAAAAGCAAATGAATACACAGTAAAGGTCCTTGCACACTGACTCCGAAATGTTCGTATGCTTTTTTTTTCATATTCATCATCCTAAAAATTCGTCATGCGCAGAAACCTTGCACACTGAGTCCGATGCGTACTAATTGATTTGATTAATTGATTGAATTGTCAAAACACCTCTCAAAATGCTTGCTACGGTTGCGAAAAACGCAGAAAATCGAACCAGATGCTAATCTTTTATGACGGACAAAAGTTTTTATTTTTATTTTTCAACGTTTGAACGAAACATTCGGACTCAGTGTGCAATGGTCTTAACTCCTGGAATTTACTCCTGTGAATTAGTCATTGCACCATTAAACACCAAATAATCCCAGATAGCAAGGTGACATTGATACAATGTCGAGTATTTATCCAAACCATCACCTTGGTTGAGGTTGACATTTCAATATTTAAAGTATCGACATCGAAAGTTTGATGAAAACTGACAGCACACATGGGTGGAGACAAGGATATTGAATAAACATTGATTTGCTGTTTATGACCACAGCATCATGAAAATATATCTCTGTGGAATTATAATGGGTGTTACCCAATCTGTGGGGCATTTTCAAACATAATAGACCTTTTCAACTGCATTACCTGATTTGTTCTGATCACCCACTGTAGTATACAATTCTTACTGATTAAGAAACACCCATTTTTGTTTTGCATCTGCACTTCTCAGTAGTCAAACTGATATTTCCTCATTAAAGAGAAAACAGATGCATCCTATACAGAAGTCTTGTTTGCTGAATCACCTGATGATGTCATACTTCTCTGGTACAATTTGAACAATGATGCATCTACTTTATTATTTCTCTGTTGAAATCTCACTCATTTCATTAATTGTGGGTGCAGAAGTGATATTAAACCAACACCACTTTGTAATATTAATTCAATGCAGTTAGCATTGACACATCAACATTGACTTTCATTGTTGTAAATGGTTGCTTGCTATCTTGGCTATTATTATTATTATTATTTTATTATTAAAACCAGGACCAGCATATTAATATCTACATGATTTATTTATATTCACAGTACAAATATAAATCGTATAGCGATAATATGCTGGCCCTGGTTTTAATAATAAAATAATAATAATAGCCATTAAAAATGGCTGGTATAAATATTTTATAATAGAATTAAAGGTTGAATTTCAAATTTGACTCTTCATTGTTTTAAATTTCATGTCAACTATTTTCATAACTACATTATAAACACTAATTTAGTGCAGCAAAAGAATGTGCTTAAGTGTGTAGTACACAATAAGTGAGACAAAACTAAATGCAAAAGTGAAAAACAAAAAATTAAAACCATTAGTAAAAGTCAAGTACAAAACATTATGAATCGCATTAAATTATTTAAATATATGCAAAACTGGACACCCCTGTTTTATAGTTTTGATGTCGTTACTATGATTCTACTATGTGGGAAATAGTAGTGATATAAATGACAAAGAAAGAGTAGATTTGTCCAAATGTTTGACTGGTAGTGTGCAAAAAATGATAGAAAAGTAACATAAAAATAGATCAAATATGTAACTTTCTCCTTTTTTTTTTTTTTTTAGACTGCCAGAAATTGACTCTGCGCTGGAGGTTTTGTCTGATATTCTACAGCAACTGAGCAATCAGAAGAGTTCAATAGAAGAAGTGATTCATACAACTTTTGAGGAGCTTCAGAAGACCCTAAACGTACGCAAAAGTGTTCTGCTGATGGAGCTGGAGGTCAACTACGGACTCAAACAGAAGGCTAGTACACTTATCTAGACGCCATAACTTTTGTAATGTTGTTATTAGAAACCCGGCTTTTCCCTCAAATATTTAGCAAGATATTCAGCATTTTGTTTTGTTTTCAACATTAGCCTTAATTCTACACATGGTCAGATTATTTCTTTGGTTATAGTATCAACCGATTCAGATTTAACTACCCCTAAACGTTGCATAAAATCTAGTGAATTGTGAGTGGCTGTTTTATATGCATGTCTAGGTAAGCAGTTCTTGACTGGAACAAGTTGCAAAGCAGACCAGACTTTATTTCCTGCACTGTTATTTTACACCCATCCATCCTGGCTCCTCTGGTATCATTCACACTGTCTTGCTGTGATGAATGATTAAACCAATCAATAACTGTAGCATATGCTTCTGTGAGGGTCTGACATCAGTCCTGGCAGCTGGCAGTGCGTCACATGGGAATGATTCATCTGGGAGAACCAGACCAACTACAAAATCACCTGAGCCCTTAAACACAAAGTAAACAAAGGCAGCACAGCTAGTCGCTAACAGGCGCACATAGTTTGAGGCTTTGTAATGGAAGAGGACTGTGATAAACAAGTTGAGGTGCGGTAGGATTCTGGATTCAGTTTTCTTTATGGAGTTTTGTTTTTAGCGTTTGAGAATCAAAATGCTTGTCAAGTTTTTTCTCATGTGATGTTTTTATGATGGTTGTGGTTAATGATTGAACATACTCAAGATGTAAGTGGTGTTATTTGTGTGTGGATCATTGATTTATCAAAGCATGGATCTGTCAATGCTTTAGTGCATTTGGTCCTTAACCAGTGTCACTGTCATTCTGTGACGACTGATGTACCAGACCCCTTTTTTGTCTGATAGATGCATGTCAGGAATTATTGTTCATTTAGAGCTGACTGTTATGTTGTCCAGTACATTCTTTTAGCTCTGATTAACTTATAATATTTCTTTAACACATACAGTGGGGTCCACTAGTTCAAATGCTTACGTTTTTAATTCTTTAGTAAAAAATTGGTGTTTGGGAATTTTTTTACTAATGTTTTTGAAAATCTTATGCTAACCAAGGCTGCATTCATTTGATAAAAATACAGTAAAAACAGTAATATTGTGAAATATTATTACTATTTAACTATTTTGTATTTTTGTAAACTGTTTTGTATTCTTGTGATGGCAGATCTGAATTTTCAGCAGTCATTACTCCAGTCTTTAGTATCAAATAATTCTTCAGAAATCATTCTAATATAAAAATTTATATTATTATAAATAAATTAAATAAATTGTATAGAATATATAATGTATTAAATGTATACATTATTATATTGTATATTAAATATTTATTGCATTAATTTCATATGTATTAAGTATATTATTTTAGTAGATATATGCTCTATACTTTATATAAATAATTACTATGTAGTATTGGCTTCTGTAAACTAAAGTAGAGTTTCTACAAATTATATTGTCAGCATAACAGTTCAACTTTTTAATGAATATCAGATTTTTGGTTTTAGTTTTGCAAAATTCACAGCATGTTAAATCAAGTATATCAAGGAGTTTGATAGAAAACCTGAACGTCATGTTGTCCAGCATGATTTGAGAATGTTCCAGCATCTTGTGCTTTACCTTCTATACAAAGGATTTAAAGGGATAGTTCACCAAAAAAATTAAATACTGTCATTAATCACACACCCTCATGTCGTTCCAAACCCGTAAGAGCTTATTTTATCTTCGGAACTCAAATGAAGATATTTTGATGAAATCCGAGAGCTCTCTGACTCTGCATAGGCAGCAATGCAACTGAAATGTTCCCAGGCCCAGAAACGAAGCAAAGACATTGATAAAATAGTCCATGTGGCATCAGTGGTTCAAACTTAATTTTACGAAGCTGACAATGTTAATGTATTTGGTCTTGGCAGAATAGATCTGCTACGCTGCTGCTGTGGCAGAGCAAGTACCGAGACTTGCTACTGCCAATACATCCACAACATGCTGCTGTGAGCATGTAAGAAATATTGCTGCTGCAAATATAACATACATGAAATAACCCCCATATAGCGTACATGAATCACCTCATAGCAGATCTATACAGGTGGAGCTGGGGAAGGTGGAGGGTTTCTGAAGCAAGCTGCAACTGCTACGGCAAGCACTAGTCATATATTTGAATGTTGAGCAGCGAGCTCATTGGTAGGGATGGGCGGATCGATCCTTAAGTATAACATACAACATCAGTATCGAAAGTATCGATCCTCACGTAAAAATATCGATTCTAAAGTGCATTTTTTTAAACATTAATTTTATTTACTTATCAAGAAATTCGGTGCATAAAAAAAGCTTCTAAGTGGAAAAATAGACTATATTAGCGAATAATTGTGTTGGATAGAACCATTTCTCCTGCTCATCGGAACACACGCAAATGCTGAAAGACAGAACCAATCAATCACAGACAGCGTTCGCTGCTGACGCATGGCTCACAGTGCTTGTTCAAATAGGGCTGCGTCTCCCAAAAGCATCAGAAGCATTGCCACATTATTACATTACATTACATTGGTTACTATATATAAAATTAATTCTGAAAAACGCATCACGGTTTCCACACAAATATGAAGCAGCAATAATAATAAATGTTTCTTGAGCAGCAAATATTATAATTATTTCTGAAGGATCATTTGACACTGAAGTAATGTAAGTGTAATGATGCTGAATTATTTAAAATTACATTTTAAAATATATTAAAATTTAAAATAGTTATTTTTAATTGTTATATTTCTCAATATTGTTGCTTTTACTGTTTTTTTTTTTTTTTTAATAAGTGCAGCCTTGGTGAGCAGGAGACTTAAAAAAATA